AGCAGTCCCTCTGCGACACAAAACAGAGCGGCACATTACAAGTCTGACAACCCACCGGTGTCTTTCTGTGGCAGTGTGCACAGTTCCTCCTGCCTAGAGTGGCAGCTTCTCTCTTTGGAATATTTAATCCCTCAGCGAAGTACTTTGGTTTATGAGAAACTGCTGTTGAAGGAGTGGATTGCAGGGATGATGCTTGAGATGTTGACACTGACCCATTGTCTGCTAACTCCTGAATAAGGGCTTCCCTAAACTGCTTTGGTGTCATGGAGCAACCTGTTGCACACTGCTGGTAGAGGATGTGGGCATTTACAACAGCGATGTCCACAAAGTGATAAAAGAAGGTGCGGTACCAATTTCTTGTTTTGCGTGCTACACTGTAACAGTTGATCAGAGAATTAGACAAGTCCACACCCCTCATGTACTTGTTATAGCTCTTCACAGCATCAGGAACAGGGACATCCTTCTCCACCCACTTCCCATCCTGTTTCACTCTTCTCTTCACCGAGCCTCCACTGTATGCTTTATGGATGGAGGAACACAGGATAACCTCCTGTGTGTAGATCCACTTAATATAGAGGAGTTTGCCATCACGAATCCACTGGATGCTGCGTCGCGCAGTATTCCTTTCTAAATCACTGACCACAGTCTTTGGTAACTTCACTCTGTTCTGCTGAATGGTACCACACGCTCCTATTTTCTTTTTCAGCAGGTCTTTGAATAGGTGGGGACTTGTGTAAAAGTCTTTAACATAGAGCTGATAACCAGTTCCCAGACTTTCTGTGTCTATGAGGGACATAAAAGAGTCGTAACTTAGTCCTTGCCCTGAGCCAGAGGACTTGCCCTCAAAAACCTTAAAGTTCCACGTGTAGCCAGTTTCAGAGTCTGCCAGTACAACAAGTTTACGGCCACATTTCTTTGGTTTGTGTTCGTCGTGTTTTTTTATTGAAATTATTGCTTTTGAAGCCACCATCCGCTCATCAATGGAAATATGCTGGTTTGGATGAAACTGCTCCTTGCATGCTTGAATAATTTGCAGATAGAGGGGTTTTATTTTCCCAAGTCGGTCGTACTGTGCGGTTCCTTTATTAGAAATATTTTCAGCATCCGCTTCCAAGCTGCTCATGTGAAGTGCACGGCAAATGGTGAGGAATTTATTACGGGACATGACTGAGGGGGGGAAAGGTAAATTGTAAAGGCGAGATCCTTTCCAATAATCCCTCAGTTGAGAGCACTTTATTAAACCCATGTAAATTATAATGGCTAAGAAAGAAAACATGTCACTAATGGTGAGGTCCTTCCATTTTCCCTTCTTTTCATCAATTTTTGTTTTACCATATTGATTTGTGTTTGCCAATAAAGTAGCCAGCACAGTGTCTGTAAAAAATAACCTGAAAAAGTCCATCGGGGTTGAAGCAGTCCTGCTCCTTTGCTGTGGTCCAGGCTGTCTTACCGGCTTGAAAACCAGTGGAGGGGGAGCAACATCCTCCTCATCTGCTGTGTGCCACTGCATTTCAACTGTGGATGTGGAAAGCTGGACAGGAGAGGGGACTGATGCTTGGGTTGATGGTCCTCTGCGTTCTTTAGGAGCATCGGGCTCCCAATCTGACTCACTCTCCTGTTGTTCAGGCGTCCATTCCCTATAAAAAAACCTACACGTTTATACACAGATATACATATATACACACACATGTTCTGCCATTGTAGTGAGGACCATGTGTTGACTCACACTGATTTGTCATTTTCAACCTTTTCTATGTCTCAACCCTCAAACTAACCATTACAATGCATACCTCCCCCTAACCCCAACCAATTGACACCGTAGCCTTAAATCTAACCATTTACAAAATAGCATGTGAGGACTGGAAAAATTTACTTATTTTGCAACAACTGGTCCTCAATTTGATGGTGAAATTGGAAAAATGGTCTGAGGGCAAGACAGGTACACCCACACAGTGTGCCCTGTTAGCTAAAGAATACATTAACTGGGCTTTAATGAACACAAATTAAACAAATTTTTGAACTGTGATAAAACATTTATTGCATTTTTACTCACAGATCCAAGATCCTATCCAGACCTTCGGGAAAAAGCCTCTCTTCTTCAGAGTCATATTCACTGTCAGTGAGGTCCTCTTCTGATGATGTTAAAACAAACTCCAGTTCCTTTTCTGGGCTGTATTTTGTCGTTTTTGGGGCCTTAGAAATTGTAAAAAACAAAATCAGCATTCAAACTTCAAAAATGTCGGAGCTTTGTTAGTAACCAACTTTGAACTGTGCGCAATGACCCCGTCTTTGGAGGATGTTTCACCGTTACGCAAGTCGGTAAAATGGCTCTGCTTTAGGCAAATTAGGGCTGCCTACCCTTGTTTGAAACCTTATTTCATTGGCAACAAATAGGGCCTGTTGTCTCAACCAATAGGACTATATGAGGCATAATATGGCTCTACTCGGTGCGTCATTGACTGACAGGCAAGGAGCGCTTATCCCTTACCTGTCCCCGAGTCATACAAAGACGCGCACACCTTATTTTTGTAGGTAGGAAGATGATGTAAAAAAAATAAAAAATAAAACACAAACATCGCAGGCAAACGTTTGACAAAGTTTTATTAGAAATATG